GAACCGCGGTCGACTACATGGGAGTCCAGCGACATAGCCATTACGCTAACTGCTGGTCCCATCATTCTTTTTTTAAATGACTAATTTTATTTATTTTGATTCATCATCATCATCATTTTTATTTGAACAGAGAGCGGGAAAGTGAGGGAACAAGCCCACCAGGTCCAGGACTTGAACTGTGGTGAGCCATATGGGAGTCCAGCACCTTAACTACCATGCCACCTGCCAGCGCCAAGTAATTTTTAAAAAAATTTTAAGAGATTTTTGCTATAGGGCACGTGTACTCGCCAGGGAGACAGACAGAAATCATCCCCCAGGTGGATGGCCGTACTGCAATCCCTTCTCCATTCTCTCAGAATCTTGGGCACGCGTGCAAACACACCCAGCATGAATTTAAGTCCCTGAGTTCAGGACTCAAACGCGGTTGACTATGTAGGATTCTAGCGACATAACCATTATGTCATCTGCTATCCACTAAAGTCAGTTTTGTTTTGTTTTGTTTTGTTTTTGGAGAGGTTTTTGCTGTAGGGTGTGTGCACTCACTAGAAAGACAGAAAGTGAGGAATCACCCCCCAGGGGGGATGGCCACCACACCATAATCCCTTCTCCTCCATTCTCCTCTCGGGATCTTGGGCACATGCGCTCACGTACCCAGCGTGAGTTTTGAGCCACCAGGGTCCGGGACTCAAACTGTGATCGACGTATAGGAGTCCAGTGACAGAGCCATTACACCAACTGCTAGTCCATTGAATATCCATTTTACGGATCAGGAAACAGGCTCCTGCTAATACAGAATGCTCAGTGAATAGTTGCAAACCTGAACATCACTGAGACCACGTTGTTATTAGTGGAGTCCTCAGTATCTGCACAGAGCCCAGTTCAGGCCTGTCCCAAAGGAAGTGTGGTGGGGCAGAAAGCAGAGGTGAGGGAGTTAAAGGACAGGGTGGGGAGGCCACCAGGTGGCATGGTGGTTAATGTGCTGGACTCCCACATGGCTGACCATGGTTTGAGTCCCAGACTGGGTGTTTTGTTTCTCATTCTCTCTGTTGCTGTCTCTCTGGTGAGCACATGTGCCCTATACCAAATTAAAATAATAACAAGAGAAAGAAAGAAAGAAAGAAAGAAAGAAAGAAAGAAAGAAAGAAAGAAAGAAAGAAAGAAAGAAAGAGAGAAAGAAGAC